GCACCACTATGCCTGACTAATTTTTTTATTTTTATTTTTGTAGAGGCGAGGTCTCGCTATGTTGTCCAAATTGGTCTCCAGCTCCTGGGCTCAAGCAATCCTCGTGTCTCAGTCTTCCAAAGAACTAGGATTACAAGCCTGAGCCACCACGCCCAGCCTAGGACACTCTGAAACACAGTCTAAACATTGCCCAGTGAATGATGTAATGTTACATAAATCAGATCAGCCAGTATGAAGTTATCAAGAAAAGTATGTTCATTGTTTTCTATCATTTAGTAATTTACTTTTTGCTGAGGTCTTAGTGGATTTTCATTCTTCATAGCATAAAAAGAGAATAGGCATTGGGGCTGAGGTACCGACACTTGCTTCCTCCTCTCCCTTCTGATGATTCCACTAGACCTGAAATGCGACTCCATTAGAAAGACAGTGTGGGAATCTTCCAACGGTTGCTCAGCAAGGGACCTCACACAGATGACTCCATCAGTCCTGGGCTCCCCCAGGAGGGCAGGATGCAGAAGGGCAATTGACAGATGTTTAATATATCCCTAAAGGATGGTACTAGCTGCTATGTTGGGGGAAATTCATCAGGGCACCTTTCCTGTTTTCCAGGAGCTCCAAATCTGATATGGAAGAATGATAGGGCAGATGCATAATCGGCGGAAGTGTGTAAAGGAATAGCAAGGAGGGGCATGAACTTGAAGTTATGCCAGGTGCAGAATGTACGGGGTTATCTGAGAAGGGACTAGTGGAAAGGCTGTGCTTTGAAGGCAGAGGAGGAGAGGAGGGCCTCAAGCCTGAGAGGTGTGAATGGTGACAAGTTGGGGAGACCCCAAAAAGGTCAATTTGCTTATGCAGGAGGGCAACTTCCATCTGTTGTCCATCTTCTTCCTGCAACATCAGACAGCTTTGAGAGGGATGAGTGAACTTGATCTCCTGTTCTGCTCTCACAGCTCACAAAGTCCCCAAACCCCCCTAACCAAAGATGCTTTTAATGGGGAAAGAGGTATCAACAGGTCTACAGATTTCTAAGGGTCCAAAATCCCTAGAAATTATCTTTTGTCCTTAGCAAATGGAAACATTTTAACCAGAGTGTACATAATTACAAAGTTATCCTCTTGTGCCCATGCACATCTTTTATGTTAAGCAACAGCTGATCCACATCAGTTGATCCATATCAACCACATATGTAGCTCTTCTTTGCCTTCATGAAGAGAAGAAAAAGTCTAGATTTCTAAACTTTGTTTTTATGTTTGCATTGGACCAATTTTCCAACCATGATGTCTACTCAGAGGAGAAGTTCCACAGTGCCTTAAGTAGGGTGGTCAGTTCAGGCTATATTTTAATACACGTTGGACTTTTATCTTCATAGTGGGAAACTTATTAGTAGGTTCTTGATCACTATTCTGTAAACAACTAGAAATTCTCTGGCTTCAGGGTTTTGTTGTTGTTGTTGTTGTTTCTTCCATAAAGAGAACTCGTGTTCTCTTTGGAGATTTACTAGCCACTCTGAAGTAATGTCTCATATTTAATAAGATTTTAATTACGTTTACAAACTATACTCCGATAAATTTACTGATTGATATACAGTGAAGTAGCTTAGATCAGACAGTTCTCAATAAATTAACAAGGAAGAACATAACATCCAGAGGGGAGCTAATGAATTGCAAAATGCCTTACTCATAAAATTAAGTAACCTTCAATAAATGTAAATGAAGAAAATGATAATGGCTCAGCATTTTGTATTTTCCTAGTGCTTAGAGAAACCTTATACATTAGCAGGGACCTTAAAAGGGAGAAGGGAAAGAGACTGCTAAATGTAAATTACTAAATAGTGACATTGATGGCAACTTTAATTTACCCCGATTCCACTGGAAAAACTAATTAGTTTGTTCTCCAGGCCACAAAATGAAAATGACATGACATTTTGCTTATCTTCAGAAAAGGTCTAATACAGGCATAAATTCAGTCCTGAATTTAGGTTGGCAAATTTTAAGAGAGTGATTAAAAGTCTGGTGTTTACATTGGGCTTTTGTTCGTCTTAAGAACCCAATGAGCCGGGCTCAGTGGCTCAGACTGTAATCCCGCGCCTTTGGGAGGCTGAGGTGAGTGGATTGCCTGAGCCCGCGGGTTCGAGACCCGCCTGGGCAGCGAGACCTCATCTCTACAATAAATCAAGAATCAGCCAGGCATGGTAGCATGCACCTGTAGTTCTGGCTACTTGGAAGGCTGAGGTGGAAGGATCGCCGGAGCCCAGCAGGTCGAGGCTGCAGTGGCCAGGATTGGCCACTGCACTCCAGTCTGGGTGACAGAGTTTGAGACTCTAACTCAAAAAAAAAAAAAAAGAACCCAATGACATCCTTTAAAATTGTCATCCTCCTTTCTGTCCAAAGCTACTAGGTTGTTGGAGGATCTGGATTTGAAGTTGGCCCTTCTACTTTCTACTGTGTGGTCTTGGGGAAGTGTAAACTCCTCTAGATCTCAGACTCCTCACCGATAAATGAGAAACCTGATACATAATGTTTGTGCAGGCGATTAGCACAATGCCTGGCCCAACCTGGGGCTTCACTGTTATGTGTTGAAACTAAAATATGTGCAGTTGCATGGACCTGCAGAGTGCTTGCAGCCTCATCACTGACCACAGAACCAAGCCAAGGAAGAGGGCACATGTTAGAAGGGTAGGAAGTGGAAGAGGTGGTGCCTCCACACAGAGGAAGCAGAAGCAGAGGCTTGGATAACCTGCAGCCTTGGAATCGCTGGTTTCCGTGAGAGGTCGCCAGCAGAGGCTCACAGCTGGGTCCCTGAATAGTACAGGCATACCGCTGGCATGATAAGTCACAAAGAACAGCCAGGCAGGGTGGCTTAAGCCTGTAATTCCAACTCTTTGGGAGGTCGAGGTGAGGGGATTGCCTGAGCCCACGGGTTCGAGAACAGCCTGGGCAACTTGGCAAGACCTTGTCTCTACAATAAATCAAAAAATTAGCCGGGCGTGGTAGCACATGCCTGTAGTTCCGGCTATTTAGAAGGCAGCGACGGAAGGATCGCCGGAGCCCAGAAGGTCCACGCTGGGGTGGCCATGAGTGTGCCACTGCACTCCAGTGTGGGCAACAGAGTGAGACTTCAGTTTTTTTAAAAAGCTGCAAAGAACAGGGATAAGAGCAAGATGGAGAGGTGCCAGTTGACTCCTTCAGCTCTCTGAGTGAATTGGAGCCAACATGACCTCCAAAGCAAAGGCCCCATCACTGCCTGACCCCACACCTAATTTTATATCAAACAAGTTTCTCTCCTGAAGTGGCATTTGCAAGTTATATAACCTACCTACATATGTAATTTCAAAAGAGAATCATTCCCTCACTGAAATATAAGGGAGGAAAGGAAAACAATTTCTAATAAAGTAATACGTCTCAATATTCTGTAACCAAGAACTGTAGTATATGATTTGATGCCTCGATCCTCCTCACAATGAATGTTTGTATTTAAAAGTAATGAAACATTCTGCCTTTTTTGCTTATAACTGATGTATGAAAGAGGAAGTAAAAGTAAGAATACATTTACATAATCACATGTATATACATAATCACCATTAATATGATAGCTACAAATATAGGTATGGTTTACTGAAGACTCTGATATCTTCAGTGGTGTTGACCTGTGCTGCTGTGACTTCCAAACTGGTGATGACTCATTGGTGAAGTTTCAATTAAACAGAATACACACATCCCTTGATTTAATTGATGATTATGTTCATGGGAAATTCAATGGATATTAAAACTGTGTTAAAGAGTTGGCTTCTCATAAATCCACATGAAAGGCTAGCAGGGTGTTTGGAAGTTGCCTGGGAAGTGGACAGTTCTTCCTGTGCAGACATGTTATGTCCGTTGTTCTCACCCACAGACTAAGGGTAGCACCCCCCACCCCCAGTCATTGTGGTAACTGCAAATGCTCTCACAGATGTCTAGAATGCTCCCTTTGCACTATTTCCTTAAAGGCATATGAGAGTAGAGGTGGAAACAAAATTGAAGGATAAGTTTAGCTATCTTAAAGAATAGACTCGGCCGGGCTCGGTGGCTCAGCCTGTAATCCCGCGCTTTGAGAGGCCAAGGTGAGTGGATTGCCTGAGCCCGCGGGTTTGATACCCGCCTGGCCAACTTGGCGAGACCTCATCTCTACAGTAAATCAAAAAAATTGACCAGGCGTGGTAGCACGCGCCTGTAGTTCCAGCTACTTGGAAGGCTGAGGCAGAAGGATCACCGGAGCCCAGCAGGTCAAGGCTGCAGTGGCCGGGAGCATGCCACTGCACTCCAGTCTGGGCGATAGAGTAAGACTCCAACTCAAAAAAAAAAAAAAAAAGAATAGACTCTTCATGAACTTAGAATTGCCAACATTCTCACTCAGTTTCTTTGAACATGTTTTGTTCTTTAAAAAAACCAAAACCTTCCATTTCTTGCTTTTCAGATTGCAATTGGTTTTTATAAATTTCAGTATCCTATGTTACACTAATGATTATTGTTGAAACCATTCCAGAAATTCTGTATTTTTTGGGTGGTGTCATTTTTCCTTCTATCTCCTTTTATATATGCCATTATTCATCCTTCTATAACTTTACAACTTTGATTTTTCTTATTATTTTCTATGCTTAACCATCTATCCTAGTCAGGATAATAGATAATGGTTTGATCTAGATGGTTTGGCTAGGAGTAAATGTGTGTTATTTCTTGGCGTGATGTTGGGGGTTAAAATCACCTGCAACAACCTCTTGTCATCTGGTTATAGCATTCTCTTATTTCCAAGTGGAATTCAAGACGCAGACCCATCACTATTTTATTGCTGTCAGCTTATAGATGCTTGGGAAGTTTTGATAATCAAGGGAAGGACAAAAATGTCTGCTGCCTATGCAAGTACAACCAGTACAATAAAAAGGCGTAATGTTTCATCTAGCACAGATTTTTTTAAAAAGTCATTTGTGGGACTGAGGTGTGTGTTTTGTTTTGGTTTTTTTCCAGCTGACATCCCAGCATCCTTACGCTGAAGTTTTCATCGGACGGCCACATGTTTGGACTGTTGACCTCAACAATCGGGAGGAAGTAGAGGATGCAGTGAAAGCAATTTTAAATCAGAAGGTTGTTTCTTTTATTCCATTTCCCTCATTCATAACGTGACCTGAAATGTGTGGAAAATACCACAGGTCCTTGGTTTTAGTAAGTGGAGCTTTTCTACATTAGCTTTTCCCTGAAGTTGGAATATAGCTAAGCTGGGCCAAGTACGGTGAGTGGCTCACGCCTGTGATCCCTGCACTTGGGGAGGCCAAGGCAGGAGGATTGCTTGAGTCCAGGAGTCTGCGACCAGCTTGGGCAATATAGCAAGACTTTGTCTACAAAAAAATGTTTTTAAAGTAGCTGGGCTTGGTGGCATATGCCTGTAGTCCCATTTACTCAGGAGACTGAGGCAGAAAAATCACCTGAACCCAGAAGATAGAGGCTGTGGTGAGCTGTGATTATGCCACTGCACTCCAGCCTGGGTGACAAAGTGAGACCCCTACTCAAAAAAAAAGAAGGGCCAGGTACGGTGGCTTAGCCTGTAATCCTAGCACTTTGGGAGGCTGAAGCAAGAGGATTGTCTGAGCCCCGGGGTTCAAGACCAGCCTGGGCAACTTGGTGAGACCTCATCTGTACAGTAAATCAAAAAATAAGCCAGGCATAGTAGCGCATGCCTGTAGTTCCAGCTACTTGGAAGACTGAGGCGGAAGGATCGCCCAAGCCCAGCAGTCTGAGGGTGCAGTAGAAGTGAAATCAGAAGGACAGGGACCCAAAGCACAGTGTTAGTAAAAGGGAAGAGGCTGGAAAGGCATATATCCTAGGAGGAATAGCCGGTTTGCCTATGTGGAGGCCATCTTTCCCCTTCAGGAAACAGAATGGGATAACCTAACCAGTTTGTGGTCCACGGAACTGCTAATTTCAACTAATTCAAAACCTTTCCACAGGAGCAAGAGCACTCTGCTACACTATCCATGCCCTGCCCCTTTAAAGATGATCTAGTTATTGGGCTTTGCTGTAGCTGTCAACTTCCCCTTGACATATACAATCCCAGTCTCAGCAGTTTAGGGTAGAAGTTCTCTGATGACTGAGCTGATAGAAGTGCCAAGTTGACTGTGGTCCCACTGGACTGCCTCATAATATTGGCCACACACCTAAAACTCCACCTCAGTCATTTCTGTGGAGGTCAAAGTTTCTTCTTTCCTGAGTCTCCAAGTCCCTTAGTGTGTTAGTTTCTAGGGCTACTGTGACAAAGTGGCACTGGGTAGCTTAAAACAACAGAAATGCATTCTCTGTTATGTATTCTAAACTTCTCATTGTGGAGGCTTGAAGTCTGAAATAAAAATGTCAGCAGGGCCACACCCCTCATACTCCCTGAAGTCCCTATCTTTCCTTGCCTCTTCCAGTTTCTGGCAGCCCTAGGCGTTCCTTGACTTGCAGCCTCAGAGCTTTGGCCTCTGCCTCCATTTTCCTATGGCTTCCTCTTGTGTATGTCTCTGTCTTCTCCTCTTACATTCGAGTAGGACCCACCTTAATTCAGTCTGTCCTCATCTTAAATTGATTACATTTGCAAAGATACTATTTCCAAATAAGGTCACATTCACAGGTACAGGGGGTTAGGGCAACGTTTTTTTTGTTTGTTTTTTTTTTTGAGTTGGAGTCTCACTCTGTCACCCAGACTGGAGTTCAGTGGCCGCTCCCGGCCACCGCAGCCTCTACCTGCTGGGCTCTGGCGATCCTTCCACCTCACCCTTCCAAGTAGCCGGAATTACAGACGCGCACTACCACGCCCAGCTAATTTTTTGATTTATTGTAGAGATGAGGTCTCGCCTGCCCAGGCGGGTCTCGAACCGGTGGGCTCAGGCAATCCACTCACCTCAGCCTCCCAAAGGCGTGGGATTACAGGCTGAGCCACCGAGCCCAGCTGGTGATATAAAATTTTAAAAGAAAAAAGTGGTACAGGAAAAGGGAAAAGGAGTAAGGAATGAAATGAGTATAAAAATTGTCATAAACATTCTTATACTTGTGGAAATGGATCATAAATTTGGTGCTAAGCTTCTCATATTTACGTTACATGACACAAAACACAAGAAAATATAGCTATCAGTAAGAAAAGAAATAGTCAATAAAACCAGATCTAGAGATGGCCCAGATGTTAGAATTCTCAAACAGCAAGGTCAAAATGCTGTGATAAATATATTAAAAGATTTGGTGGAAAAGGTGGACAACATATGTAAACAGATGGAGAATTTCAGCGAAGAGATGGAAACTATCTTTTTTAAGCCAAATGAAAAAAATGCTAGAAATGAAAAACACAATATCAGAACTGAAGAATTCTTCCAATGGGTTTATCTGCAGACTATACACAGCAGAGAACAAAAATCAGTGAACTTGAAGACTTAGCAATAGAAATTATCCAAGTTAAAGCATAAAAAGAGAATGAAATTTTAAAGAAGATGTGAGATCTATAGGATAATATCAAGCAGCCTGACATATGTGCATTTGGAATCTCAGAAGGAGGCAGAATGGGTCAGAAGAAATATTTGAAAGGATAATGACTAAGAATTTTTTTAAATTAATGAGTGGCATCAACCTACCTCTCCCAGGAGCTTGGTGAACCCCAAGCAGGATAAATACAAAGAAAAACACATCCAACTGCAGAAAAGCAAACATAAGGGAGAAAAACCTTGAAAGCAGCCAGAGAAAAGTTTATTGCATTCAGGGGAATAACTTTATTAAAGACAACCAATTTCTCATCAGAAGTAATGGGGACCATAAAAAGATCTCCAGGAGCCAGAACATTGTAGGGCCTTTAAATAGTCCATAGTAAGGATTCTGGATTCTGTAAACATAATGGGAAGTTTTGGCCAAAGGAATGCCATGACAATTTCCATTTGAAATCATCAAGAGAAAATACAGGTTCTGTCTAACTCAAAATCCTGTGGTTAGCAAATAAAGGAGCTGTAACTCCAACCCTGGTCTTCTGGTACCTTCTAAGACCATCTCTCTTTGTTTTGTTTTGTTTTTGTTTTTGTTTTTTGAGTTGGAGTCTCACTCTGTCACCCAGACTGGAGTGCAGTGGCTGCTCCCGGCCACCGCAGCCTCGACCTGCTGGGCTCCGGCGATCCTTCCACCTCAGCCTTCCAAGTAGCTGGAATTACAGGCATGCGCTACCACGCCCGGCTGATTTTTTGATTTATTGTAGAGATGAGGTCTCGCTGCCCAGGCGGGTCTCCAACTCGCGGTCTCAGGCAGTCCACTCACCTCAGCCTCCCAAAGGCGCGGGATTACAGGCTGAGCCACCGAGCCCAGCTGACATCTCTCTTTGAATGATACCAGGCCGGCTCTGTCAGGAAAGACCATGGAGGCCTTCTCAGGGAGGCTGATCTCTGAGAGCGGTTCCCTGTAGGAGATCTACCCTGACTTGGAAGGTGGATAGGTCCTGATGGAGACAAGAACTCTCACCAGAAAGGAGGTCAAGAGGAGAAGATGTAGGAGAAGATGGAATGGTAATGGAAGGTTTTCAAGACCAGCAGGAGCTCCACAGTGCAGCCTGCAGGCATCTTTCCTATGGCCTTCACCATATAAGTAATAGTCCTTTTTCCACAAAACAGAATGACCAGGAATACCCCCTTGCTTCCCCACAGTTGCTTCTGCTTGGGTTTGGGTTTCTCAATGACTGGATATGGTTTCAGCATTCTCTTTCATTCGATGCCCCAAAGAGGCCTTGACTGGTCCTGAAGAATAGTTATTCAGAAAACTGTCCATCCTCCCCTTCCCTCAGCATATGCAACAGCTCTCACTTCAGTGGCTTGCCCAGTGCTGTCTATCCCCGAACCCAGGCGTCTGGCGAGCTGTCCCATGCAGAAGTCCCTGCTCCTACTCACAGCAGGATGACTAGTGAACTCACTGGCAGAGGTAGCCTAAGAATGTAGTTTCCTCTTTTTTGGGGGGGGAGGTAGGAAAATTGTTTGTTTGGCTTCATACCCTTTAAAACAGTGAACTGCCCCAAAGTAGTGAGTGAAGCAGCATCCCTTTGATTAATTTGGACATGGTTGGTAAGAGAACAGAGAAAATACCATTTTTCTTGTTTATTGCATTGAGCCCTTTAAACTAATTTGTTTTCATTTTCTAAAGGATGCGCTTTAAATTCTATTGTTGGAATGGTGCTTGGATACTCAGCATTCTTCCTACCACATAACTGGATCATTGGTCTTATGAAAGATTACTACCAACATGTGTTTATTTCACTCTAGAACTTCTGCTTGTCTACTGATAAATGAGCCCAGATATTCTTTGTTCTTGGTTTTACATAGCTTCCTTTTGTTTCTTCTATGAACCTTTGAGAGGAAGCTTATCTCTAGTCCAGTTATAGAAACCTTCTGGAGTCACCCATGGGTAGAGTAAATGTGTTTTAAAAGAAAAGAAAAATTTTACGTTTGATGTGAAGGGTTAAGTCTGGGTCAGAGAGAGAACAGTAAACTCAAAAGCTTGAGATGAGAGGGAGCAAACTGAGAACCTGAAAGTCAGTTTTTCAGAGTATTTTGAGCTCTTTGGAGATGAGCTACCTAGGAATAGAGTGACCTCTCTGTTCTTGTAGAACAGTCTGCCGTGATATTACAATACTTATGGTTCAGCTTCTTGTAGCTCCATCCAGACAGATGTGGGCAACTGTGGTGAGATCCACTTGCATGATGCATCAGCTAGTTGTGCGTTTGAAGACAAATTATGATATTTCTAAAATTCATGATTGAAGAAGATTTCAAATATAATGTGTGGTTCAACACATAAGGAAAGGAGAGAGGATGCCCTGAGATCAGCTGTTTGGCTGCCCACAGAGTGTCCTGTCTATCGACTGTCCCATTTTCAGCAAGCTCAGCTCGTAGATATTTTGTCTAGTTCACGTTGCAGATTCGAGATAGGTAAGCATAGACTTAAAAGGGAGCTGGTGAAGGTACCCCTCTGTCTCTGATAGGCGCTGTTGTACTCTCTGAAACTGTAACAGACTGGATTTCTGGGTGACTTTTCTCCCAAATGAAACATCCATTTCAGACTGGTAATGCCCCTGCAAACACAAACCTTGCAGCAGATCTCCTTGCTAAGCACCATGCAACAGAGCTCAAACTCATATTTCTTCCCCTTCCCTCAGATGTACAATATTGATGACAATATCTTGACAAAGCGCCTTTTAGGGGCTCCTCTTCCTTCAAATAAAATCTAGGTTCCTTGGTATAAAAAATTTCAAGACTTCTGTGGAAATTCAGTGAATCATCTTTCCAACCTTATCTTACCAGCCTCTGTGCTCCTGAGCCCCAGCTTCCTGCTGCCCTTTTGCATTAAATCTCACAGTTCTTGCTCCACCTAAAATGTCCTCAGCATTCTGACCCTCCTCAGACTTGGCTTGCTAGCCTCATAGCTGACCTTCAAAACTCAGCATGAGTAGAAGTCTGCTTTGACCTTCTGGCCCCCTCTGGCTGGACTCTTTGTCGCACTTTATCACTCTTTTTTCACCCTTAGTTCTTTGGGCACATGCTAACTTCACCTACTAATGAAGATGAAAGCCTTCGTCACTGTCATGGGTCCTTAAACTGCTCATTGTACTCCTATCTCAGAGTGGTGACCGTGCATTCACTCAACAAATATTTGATAAAATCCTACACGTGCCACTCTTATGCCCAGCACTGGGATGCAAAGATGGTCTTTGCCCATGGAGCTTACCTCCTGGCAAGTAATAATCACCACCTTTTGTGGAATGTCTACTGTGTGCTAGCCACTGAACTAAGCATCTTTTTTTCCTCTGTATAATCTTCACCACAACTTAAAAGAGGTGGGTTTTTATTATCACCCTTTTACATTTGAGGCACCAGAGACTTAGAGATGGCAAGTAGTTTTCTCAGGGTCTCAGAGTGAGATCATGGTCCCATTCTGTTGATTTCCAAGTCCATAGTCTTAATCTCTCTAGAGGCTGCCTCTCAATGTTGGCACCTGTGTGTTGAGTGAATCATTGGAGGACTGGGTTAGTGCTACACGCCTTCTGTCCTCCTTCATGGAATCGTGTTCTGTTTCCACAGATTGAGCCATACATGCCATATGAATTTACATGTGAGGGGATGCTACAGAGAATCAATGCTTTCATCGAAAAACAGGTAAGGCTCATCAGAAGGTCATCTTTCTTTGCTGTGTCCTGCTTCCTGTTACCCCAAGGGGCTTTCAAGAACAGCCAAGAGCTTGCTGTGTTTCTCTGGTTATTTTCCTGCTTTGGAAAGACTCTAGAAGCCAAGTAATTACTTGTTGAAATTCTAAAGGCAGCGCTGTCATGGTCACCCAAGGGAACCAGTCTTTCCTTGTAGGTAAGAGACTGGATGATCAAGATGAAGATTTCCCTGACCATTAGGGCCTGCACTCTGAGTGGGTTCTAAGGGGCATCACGAAGTCTTGGGAGGGGGACAGACAAGTAGCTCTCTTGTCCTACCTTATCTTCATTTCTCATCTAAGAAAGACAAGGACTGAAACCAGGGGTTTCCAAGCAGTCCTTTAACTATATATGTTTAGTAATTCTGAATGTTAGAACTTTATTGTGGTTTTCAAACATCTTCTAAAAACAGGATCCTTTCAAATGAAACCTTACATGAAACCTAGGTATATAAAGCAGATAGATGCAGGACTTCAGTTCCAATGCAGGAGAAGTGCCGAGAGTCCTACTGTCCCCAACAGGGTTTGGAAACTCTGGCTCCTGCTCCTAGGAGTAAAGGCCAGGAGTGCTATTGCTGTCATTTTGTAACATTTGAGCTCCTTGGGCTTCAAAAGCAACCCAGAGCTAGAAATAGACAGACTGAGAACCCCCGTGGGTAGGAGAGTGTGAACTTGTGGACCAGATTCCAGAAATAAGGTGCCTTTCTTAAAGGGCAGAGTAGAATGTTTCAAGGCGATCAAGGGATCTTGACACCACGGGGGATGAGGATTGTGCACGCTGAAAATAGAAATGGCATGTTGAAGGTCTCTGTAGGCAGAGATTATAGGCCCAATGTGGGCCTCAAAGGAAGAGCTGGTGGTTTGAGGAGACTGACACTGTGGCGAGCAGCCTGGGTGCTGCTGTTGGAGAGGAAGTGCTGTGGTTGTGTGCTTCAGGGTGGTGCGTCTGATATGTTGAGCTTTTGTGAGTGGCAGGACAGCATGTTCTGCAGCCCAGGTACCTGAGTTCAACCCCGAGCACCACGAGTTCCTGGTTCTATGACTTGGGTGTATTAACTCAGCCTCTCTGCGCCCTAGTTTTCTCTTCTGTAAAATAAGGATAATAGTAGGACCTACGTAGTAGGAATGATCTAATACAGACGAGGTGCTTCGAACAGAACCTGGCACATATTTTATAAATGTGAACTAGTGCTGTTGATCATTTAATATATCATGCTATATTGTGGTACATTATGTTATATAATTATGAGACATACTATTTTATATATATATTACTTACCAAATCTTACCATGAGAGCTAAGCATTTGAGTCATTATCTCATTCAGTCTTTATATGACATCATAACGACAGTGTCATCATAACTTCACTAACCACAATCCTTGTAAGGTTCTGTGCCAACATGCACCAAATGCATCAGGTGTATTATCTCATTTTATCCCCACAGTAATCCCAGGAGGTGGTGGTAATAACCCCATTCTTTGGACAGTGAAAACCAAAGCTCCCAGTTATTGGGCTCACAGGTTTTGGAATCAAGATTTGATGCTGGTTTGGTGCAAGGCCTCGTCCGTGCCATTAGCATTTGCCAGGGCCTCAGGAGATGGCAAAGTGTCTCTGTCATCTTGTACCTCCCAGAGCTGTTCCCCCTTCTTGTAGGTGTGGAGAGGAGCTGTGGGCCTCCTTTAACGGTGAGTCTTCAGACATCACAGCTCTTGCTCCCATCAGAGGTTATCTCGAGATAGGGCCCCAGATCCCTACAGCTGCTGCTGAAGCCCTTTCCTTTTCCTGTCTCCACTCCCTCTCAGGGAAAAGAGTCACTCAGCCACCAGGCATAAGTGACTCTTGATCAGGTTCATTTGAAGGCTCTATTTCTTCCCTAAGGCTCAGGAACCCCAGCTAGCCCTTACAAGTTTTTTGAGTCTTCTATACGTCTATTGCTAGGTTTTCTTTCAGACAAGAAGGTCCTGTTTCCCAGATAGACCTTGTTAAACACTCCATAACACAGGGTCTCCATCTGGCTTGTTTGCCTCTGCAGCCCCAGCACCTTGCCTGGTTCATAGTAGTGTGCAGTACCTCCCACGTGAAGGAATGAATGCATGAATGGGAGGAGAGTGAGATGGGCTTTTTATTCCTGCGTGTCAGGAACCAGGAAGCTGGTCTTAGACTTTATGAATATTTGTCAGCTGGAGCGTGTCATGAACTATGTAGGCAGACGGGGAGGAGAAGTATCCAGGGCCCAGTCCCTGTCCTCAAGTAGCTTTTAATTTCCTGGAGAAGGCATCCAAGTCCGCAGGCAGTGCCGGTGCTGTAGGTTCAGCCCAGCAGTAGTGAGGAAACCAGGGTGCTCTGTGATGGCACACTCCAGCCTGCGGAGAAAGGAGGGGATGACATGAGAGAGTAGATCCCAAGACATCTTGCAGAAGATAAGTCCTGAAGGCAAACTGGGAGGACTGGGAGGGCTGTACAAGTTCAGATGCAAAGGCTTGTAACAAAAGAGAAGTCATGGTGAATTACGGGAAGTTTAGCTGCAACTGAAGAGGGGGTGAGATGAGAGAACAGGCCGGAGGAGATGGCAGAACATAAAAAGATGCTGAGGCTCAGCTGAAGGATTCAGATTTGATTCTGGGACAACAAGAAACTAAAGAAAGATTTTAGGCAGGGTGAGAGGCAATGGTGCTGTCAGATTGGTGTTTGAAAAATCATCCTAGGAATCTTGCATTTGGGGCATTTCTTATTGAATATCCTCCCAATATTCCTAAGTGAGCAATGAAGGCGCCCATTTTGAATATGTCCCCGGAATTCAATTGAACCCAGAATGTTCCCCCAGTGCCAGAAGGAAGATAGGAAGCCAAGACCCTATTGATTCACAGACTGGGCCTTCTTCCTCTGTTAGCTTTCAAGCCCCAGTGTTTTAGAGCTTGGGGTACTCATTACTTTTGCAGCAAGAAGAACTTCTTCAAAGAGCAGCAGAGATGCAGAGAAGGTGTTCCAGGTATGAACAGAAAAGCCTGCATCTCTAAGGAGGAGTGTCCCGTACCTTGAACATTAGGAGCGCTGCAGCTCTAAGTAGGCTGATCTCTGCCTTCAGAGTTGTCCCTGTGATCTTCAAGGAGAACATAGTAGCTTTTACCCCAGAAATCTTTCAAGATTGTCCATCACACCCAGCCAAGGCAGTGGGAGCCAGAGGGAGCCAATTGACAACAACTGAGAGCACGTCAGGCTTCGACGTACAGTTGAGCAGTTGCCAGCAGGAAATCCAGTTGGTACCCAGCCAGCTCGGGTGCAGTACCCAATGCGAACGATCTGACCCTAGGAAAATCACTTGCTCAGTTCCATTAATGCCCCCCTCCCTTTACTGTACTTTCAGTTGATTTTGAATTTCATGCTCTTTTAAATCAGCTCTCTAAAAGAGGCACTGTCTCCAGCAGGGGGATATTCTTTGTAATCTAAAATGAAGCACTGAGATTCTCCATCTTGAGTGTGTCTGGGCTTGTTAAGGTTTTTGTTATGCATTTCTTGGGAACACCTTATATATTGGCCTCAGGCCAGAGAGTATAACAGGTTCTTTTGAAGGAATGGCAATATAAAAAACACATGTATGGTCTTGAACCCTATTTTCTTGTCTCCTGGGAAGACCCTGTAAATATACTGGATGGTCACAGTCATGTTTATAAGGAGCCATGTAATTTGTGTGAAAAGCATGGAGGGTAAAAAGAGTTAACTTCAAGAGCAAGCAGCTGTGGAATCGGCTGAAACTCCTCGGGTGTCTGCTCATCAGAGCCTGTGATGAACTCACTGGAGAGTATTCTAGACCCAAGGACAAGCCTGTTAGTGAATCTGGATGGTCCAGGGGTGGGGGGCAATGGTGGAGATGGAGGTAACGAGATTTCAGGGAAAGAAGAAAAGGAATTGGAAAGGGAAGAAGGTTGGCACAACCTTAGGGAATGTTTACTCTTGAAAAATCGATGGCCACTGGGTAGGTGATGATTAAGCGCCAGACCCTGGAGGCGTACAGCATGGCTCACATCTTGGTTCTGCTGCCTTGGGCAAGTTACCTAACCTCTCTGTCCTTGTTCTTCTGTGAAATGGGAATAATGCTACATACCCGGTCAGAGTGGTAGAGGAATCAGTAGACTAATCCATGTTTAGAGCTAACAGTGCCTGGTCCATGTGGGCGCTCCGAGAGCTGCTGCAGGAGCCTAGAAACCAACGAGGTGTGTTTTTCAAACGACTTCACCGAGGTGTAATTTACAGACCATAAAATTCACTGCATGTAAGGGTACAATTCAGTGATGTTTAAAGCAAATTGATAGAGCTGCACAGCTACCATCACACTCTAGTTTTGCATCAGAAAGCTTGTGTCTGTTTGCAAATCAATCCTTGCTCCTGACCCACATTTTCTGTCTTTTGAGATTTGTCTTTTCTGGAGATCTCTGGCTTCTTTCACGTAGCATTAATGTTTTGGGGGTTTATTCGTGTTGTTGCCTATATCAGAACTTACTTCTTTTCATTGCTAAGTAGTATCCCATAGGATACACCATAATTTATTTCTTCATTCACCAATTGATGTACATTCGGGTTATTGCTGCATTTTGACCAGTGTAATGAGTGCTACTCTGAACATTCCCATGCAGTCTGTGTGTGGACCTGTGTGTTCCTTTCTCGTGGGTAGACTCCAGGAAGAATATGAATAAGGTAGATTTCTGTGTTCAAGAGTGTGCTTGTTCTCAGTGAATTTGAACGTGAAGGGATGATCCCTGGAGATCAGTGCCTGCTGCTCAGCTTCACAGCCACCTTCTCTGTTGCCTTTGTGGAAACACTTTTACACCTACCTCTGGGAAACAGCTCCCAGGGCTGCCTGAGGACTCAATTCACTTCCTTTTGAGGAACCGCACAGGCTGAGAATAGTAGGTCCTACAGGGGACTGAGGTGTGCTTATCCAGTCAACCAGTCACC